TATTTCTTTCTTGCAATTTGAAACATCAATCGATGAAATATCATCATGTTAACTTCTTATTAATGTGAACAAATTTTTTTATATATAAAAAGCCCTGGAAGCAATAAAACTGACCAATTGTAAACAAAAAAAATTTTTTTTAATAAATTTTTAAAAAATTATTTAAAAAAAAATCAAAATTGCCGTATACAGAAATCATAATACAAAATTTAATATCACGCTTTTATTGTAAACAATATGTTTACACAAATTTTACACTGTTTATGTAAACTTCAAAGTGCCGTTCGCTCGACTCGTGCATAAATTTGCGCAAGTTCATTATAAAATCAGTGTTTTTTGCGACGATTATAAATATTTAAGTGCAGACTGCAAGTGCCGCATTAATTATTCCAGAATCGTGCGCTGTTGCAAATTGAATTTAATAAATTTTGCAAAAAAGCCAAACAACATGACAAAATTAATAAACGAATCAGACGGCCAGACAGAGCGCAACAACATAATCAATTTGTGGCACGTACTCACACCCGCAGCCAACAGCGTCTGCTGCAAGTGCCACACGTTGCACATTTGACTGTGGCACTGGCAATGGCAGTGACTGTTGCTCTGTGTGGCATTCGCTTCCGCTGGGCCTCGTTTAGTCAAAGGGTAAGTGCCAAGGATAAGCCAGAATATGCAAGGCTAACAAGCTAATGGCTAGCATGCCAAAACGTATGCCTCTGCTTCATCCCGCCCCGCCCCATGCCGCCATCTCAAATAAACACACACAACACAGGTCGAACGGCGATAGCAATAGACCCAAATGAGGGCCTCGTTGCCGGCAGACACCTTTGAAGAAAGTCAAGGGTCAATTGACGAATGCTTCAACATCATTGTGCAAAAAAGAAAAACGAAAAAAAAAAACACAGAAAAACGAGAGGAGAAATGTTAGAGTGGGTGGGTGTATGAGTGTGTCTGTATCTGTGTGAGTGTGTTAGCAAGGCCAGCATGTTAGGGTCCTTTTGTGGCACCCAGCGTTGAGGTCGAGACGCCAAAAGTTGCTTGCAACCAGCCTCGAGGGAAACAAATGAACAAAGGCGCGTGGCGCAAAAATGAAAGGAAAATGTATAAGTGACAAGGCACAGTGGGGCGGAACAGACAATAAAGAAGACAAATAATACATAATTGAAACTATTGGGCACTTAAACTTTTTGTTGGAAAATATAAAAGATTTTTTTTTATTAATTAATTTCAATATACGATATATCA